TTCTTTACACGAACGAAAATATACACTGCATTGAGGTTTTCGCATGTCGGATGAAAAATTTGAAATTGTCCGATGAATTATGAAATTTTTATAAAATCAATGGGTGTGAACGGTTTTAAACGAATTTCTTCGTGTAAATGAAAATATACGTTATCGTGTGAGCGAAAAATTGGAAATTGACTGCCGATAGATTATAAAATTTTTATAAAATTGATGAGCGTAAGGTTTGAAAATACTTTTTTATGTAAATTAAAATATACGCTGTATCGAGGTTATATTGTCCTATGTCGGGCAATTTTTTTGTGACCTTTGGTTAACTTTCCTGTTAACTGTTCCAGGCCAATTTTGTTAAATTTCCTTGGTAACGATTTTCATTTTCAAACGTGAAACGTTTTATTTTAGACGTGACCATATTACTTACGGGACGAAATTGACAATTATCGAAAACGTTCCCTCGTTTTTCATCTTTTTCATCTGTTAACTATTCCGGACCAATTTTGCAAAATTCCTTCAGCAGACGTATTACTCAGAAAAACTGTATTACCTTACTTGTAGGAAATCGACAATTATCAAAAACGTTTCGCACGTGTCCGAGAATGAAATTTCACATTCCCCATCATCAACACGTATTTATGGAAAAACGAGATTGCCTGTTTCCCATCGGGACGTTGTTGAGACGTGAAGTTTTATGATCTTGATCGACTTTTATAATCACTCTTCGTAAAGAGATATTCTACACATTTCGCATATTCTGTAAGATATTGCAGATGTGATCAACATCCCGTACGAGACACCGAAGATAATATAATATAATGATAACGTAACACGAAAGATTATAAATATTAGATATTGAATACTTAACCGAGCGTCGAAGACTTTTCAGATTTTAAAGACTTCCTCGATTCGTCTAGATTTATCGAAATTCTCGAGACTCGCCTCTAAGAAACTAATTTAACTTGGAATTCCTCTTCATATTTATTACACGCGACTCGAGGCAGTTCAACGCGTTATAACAAAGCACAGAAACGATGATAAATTAGGGCAAATGGTTGCTTGTTGAAGTAGACGAAGTAGAAGCTGAAACGGCCACACTCTTCGAATGCTTATTCCATCCGGTTCAATCCGCTATTCACGAAAAAGAATTACTCACCGAAACACCTGTTTTTCTTTGCAAACCTGCGCGAATCAACGCGAGTCCTGACGATCTTAAGAGGTCAGGACAGTTTGAAATTTTCAAAAAATCGATTTTCTTTTGTTTTGTTTTAAATAGTTTAAAGTCTTAGAAATAAGATACAGAAGGTCCTTTAAAACGACTTACTCTGGGGTATAATAATAAATTCGTGGATACAGAATAATTGAATTTGTATCACTGTTTACAACTTTTAAGCAGTGTTGTAAAGTGTAAATCGTGTGATTCAAATATTTTGGTGAGTCGAACATTAGGGGACTTATTTAGTTGTGAATTGTAAGAACTGTGAGCCGCGATATGTAAGTAAAGAAAGTAAGTAAAGGACACGTATGAAAAATGACGTTCTGAAACTTAACTAAACTAGCGTTTTTTCTCGAAACTAGGTTTTTAGAAACGGTGTGCGAGATATCTCGAAATCTATCCAATTACTGTGAAACTTGGTACGTATCTTTAGCGTAACATTTACTATGAATTGACGATTGAACATTTTTCAATTTTCAACAATTTCGAAAAATATAAACAAAAAACTGTAGAAATTTTTGGCATAAATTCGACACGTCAAAAACAAATAGCTGCTACTTTCATAATTTTCACAAAAATGGAAATGTTTGATCGTCAATCCCTAGAGAATATCGTTTACTTTTGAACATTTTTTGCCTTTCCGTTGCAACTAATCCTGTTTGGCTGGAATCATGCACACCGATAGACAATGTAAAAAAAAGTTATGTAAAAGGATGTCGTTAAGAAGCTAAATAAGAGTCCTCTTTTCTTTCTTTTTTAATGTTGCTTTTTATAGTTCATAATGTGTTAAAATGAACCACAAAAGCTCATGTCAATCAAGTATGTACTTTTGTTTTACTAGCCCTTCAAAATGTTCGTAATTTTTAGACCCGTCAAACTGTCCTGCCTCCTTGAAAGTAGAATTGCACCAAGCTCGGAACAAGTTCCCTCTATGATATCGGTTCAGTAGGAGGATCAATTGCGCTTGGAGCAATTAACTCGCGAGCGTTCAGTCGTTGGATGACTCATCAAAGTCATCGATCGACTTTCCTCTTCTTTCTCTCGTTCTTTTCGTGAAGCGAACTCGCAAATTTTTACTGACTCGTGTCAAGTCTCGCGAGCCTGGTTCACACACACGCACGAAAAGAGAGACCAAGAGAGTGAAAGAGAGAGAGAGAGAGAGAATGAAAGACAGTAGTCTGGCAGCCGGTCGTTCCATCTGATTTTATTGGGAAGGCGGTAAGTGGTGTAGTGGTAAGCAGACAGGCGAGCAGCAGTTTCGTTTGCCGGCAAAGCAGAATCGCCAAGGGTCGCGCGCGCATACGCACAAAGCCATATGTCATGTCCAGCCGTTTAATGGCCTTTTAATACTACCTCGCGACCGGCACGTATCCCCACCCGCAAGATGGCCGCGGGATGGCTGTATCCTTTTGAATAGGCGCCTGGAGGGTGCGTGTATAAAGGTGGGCCGACGCGCGCGAGAGACCGCCGCAGAAAGTCGTGCCGCCACTCGCCAACTCTCTTGGGATTCCTGAGCGTCTGTGTCATCGGTCCGGCTGCTCGCCAGCCTCGTAAACTCGCGGCATTAAACGCCGCGCCGCTCTTCGGCTTTCGTCGATGAAACGGAACGCGTACGAGGCTGGCCAGGAATGTAGACCGATCCCGGGAATAAAGTTTCGTCCGAGGGAATCGACACGTTTTGCTTTTTGCCCTCTCTCCACCAGTGGGCTGACCTTTCGGTCGGTTTCTTCTCGCTCGTGCTCTCCTCTCTGTGTCCTCTCGCTGTTTCTTCTGGCTGACTCTCTCCCTCTCTCGTCTTCCTCCTCTCGTTGCAATTAGAGAAGATCTAATCCCGCGGCACGGCCTGAAAGTTACTGGACCGTAGAAAATTTTCAAGTTTTACATTTCTATTCGACTGCGGAGTTGCGTGGAATTCTTGAAGGGAAACTCGCTCGATACATACTACGTGCCGGAAGACGCAACGGCATCGAAATTTATCTCGGCCGTAAAATCGAACTCGTTTGAAACGAGCGCGTGCGTGCCCGTTCGCGTTTTATGAATCTCCTCCTCGTCGTTTTAACGACGACACCTGGAAACGAGAAATCACGTAAATGCACGTTCGATCTCCGTACGAACGAAAGCATTTGAATGAGATAACGTCGTAACGTTGATGATAGCACACGGTATCGATGAAAATTTCGAAATATAAACATAGATTTGCAGAGGAGGCGAAAGCCTGCAACTACAGGTTCGAAAACGCGTTAATCTCTATCCAGTCCAGATCCGAGGAACATTTTTGTCGACGATCTTTTCTCATTTATCGCGGCACTCGCCTGTCGGGCAACGCGCAGCCACTTCGTGGGGATGCCGCGTCCGCTCGCGGTGGTTATGATTGTGAAGAAAAGGGAGGAAAAGGTGCGTCGAGTGCCCCCTCGGGAGGTTTGTCCTCGGCGAAAGCGAAACGTTGAACGGCCGACGGCTGTTTTGCTTGCCCCTAGCTGGTTAACTCACTCGTCAACGAGCTCGGTTGCCCACTCGAAGACACTTCCGACATCGAGGAAGGGAGTGTCTTTCACTGTATGGCGTGCCTCGAGGACTCTACCGTGGCCTGTTTAATGCAAACATATGGGTTCGTTTGTTTCCGACGGACATATTCTTCCAATTAAGCAAAAAGACCTTGGACCGTGATTGGCCGGGAGGGAGGGGGACGCAGCCCTGTGATCGAACGCTTTTAAATATTCACGAGTGAAAACGGGTAAGAGGACGAGGACGAACGTTTGTTCGTTACTCCGTTTTTGGTTTTTCGCTTGAGATCTCTTCGTGTCCTCTCGGTTTGAAGCTGTTTCGCTTCAAACTTTGCCGGCTTCAACTTTCAATTGCCTCGGTTTTGGAAATTTTTAGTTCTTCGTTTCGTTCGAATTGACGTTAAATTTGGCCAAATTTAAATATTCTAAATATTAAATAATCATATTTAAATAAATTCTAAAAAAAGGTAACTAACTCTTCCCTTCGCTTGCAGTCTATCGTTTCCTCTCATCCTAGCGGAATCGTAATTCAAGTAGCTACGGCGGAGACGTGTCAGACTGTCAGAACAAGATAAACTGGACGTAAAAATTTACCTGTCGGACACGAATGAAGTCACAAAATGAACAGAGGATTCGCGCGAATCAACAGTGAGGATCATTAAGCCGTGGATCGATCAGACACGCCTAATGAATTATTCATTCGTTGATCGATGGTTTTCGGCTCGGCTCGATTATCGTACGAGTCGCCTTCGAGCTACCAAGCACGAGACCCAAATCCTATCGTCGATTGAGAACCAGATTCGGCCGCTACCTTACCGATGAAAGTCGCAGACGCTTCTGCGTCACGTAGGAGATAGCAGCACTCTACTCTCGGTTCTTGTAACCAATTGTTAAAACCGTCGTTGACGGTGACAAGGGGAGGGAATAGATCCGGTGATTACAAATAGGAACAAATTTTTCACACAGCGCTCGACAACGAATGGAACCGAGATAATTCTAATTCGATCGGGCTCGAATTATTCTTTTCAGATTGGACAACGCGTAATAACGAGATAGAGGAGGATCGAGTAAACCGGAAAAACCAGAATGCTCGTAAGATCGTGGCGTTCGTTTTTTTCAATCGTGTTTTGTATCGATTCAAGGATGAAACAAAGTTTTAATGGCTGGAATACGAAACGTAAGGCGAGTTAACGCATTTCGCGGGATTGCGCCGGACGACGCCGAAGAACCAATTTACCCCGCAGCAGTTTGCATATCGGATTCCGATAGTCGATTATTACACCGCGGAATGTCCAAGAATATTTTGTATTTTGCTCAATTATTACAAACTGCGATGCATATTCCAACACAATTATACATTTCCTTGGTGTTCTTACGGCTTTATGGAAAATGTTCAGTCACAGTCGGGTGAAATTAAATTATTTTCGAAGGCTAATTGCTTAACGTATGTATGTATCGGTATGACAAAATATAGATTGGTTTCTCAAGGATTCTTCTCTAGTCGACTAGAAATACGTGTCGGACATTTACTATGTTCTTTTATCACGCGTGTCTCATTTATCATTGGAATTGGACGTTATAATCGCCGGTATAAATCCGTACGGGGGTGTGCAACCCCTTGTACTGTCTTCTCCGCTTCTGTTCGACGATCCTTTCCGCTTTCTCACCGGCTTAGGCGAATTGTCGCATTTTATAATAAACTTCAGTTCGGCCATTAATTCTTCTTTAAAGGAGACCTGGCAAATAGTTCTTTCGTTTAGCAAAATCAACGAATACCTCTCGAAGGTTCTATCGATGTAATACATTTGTCTACTCACATTTTCGCGCAACGACGTGCAGCCAACTTCCCAGAGTAACTCGAACACGGTGTAAAAGAAAGAGGCGGCAACGCCTACGGATAATACCAGGAACACGCCACCCACATTGTCGAGATCCAGTTCCTCTGCCTGGTTCTGACCGCCGTCTTCCTACGTATCGTATAAAATCTATACATTAGCGCGTAAATTGTAAATCTCAACTTTCAATACAGACAAATCTCGTTTCGAGATTGGAAAACGAGTATTTGTCTCTGTACGTACTCGGCATGTTCCACCTCCGCGTTTCTGCGTCCACCATTTCTTCTTCAGTTCGGTTATCAGGCCGCTTTGCTGCAGCTTCAATACGGCAGTGTTCAATGGATGACGATACGGTGAGTCTGCGATTCAGTTTCATTTTCGAGTTACGTTCTTGTATAATTTAGTCTTATTTTTCTATTTCGCAAATTCATTTGGATTGTCAATTATTCTATTGAAAGTGGCAATTTAAACCTGACGTAATGCAACGTAATTTTTACTCGTGACTGTAGCGCTCTGATCGACCCGATTTCCTAATTTAATCTGACTTACTTGCTTTCCTATACAATTTATTCTTATTTATTTTCCTTGTTTCGCAAATTTATTTGAATTACCAACTATTCTATTAAAAGTGGTAATTTAAACCTGACATAATGCAACATAATTTTTACTCGTGACTGTGGCGCCCCTGATCGACTCGATTTCTTAATTTAATTACTTTTAATCTGACTTAATTGCTTTCCTATACAATTTATTTCTATTTATTTTTCTTATTTCGCAAATTTATTTGAATTATCAATTATTCTATTAAAATTTAATTACTTTTAATCTGACTTACTTGCTTTCCTATATAATTTATTCTTATTTATTTTCCTTATTTCGCAAATTTATTTCATCGTGATCATAATGTAATTTTCACTCACGACTATAGCACCCTAATTGACCTAATTTCCTAATTTAATTACTTTTATTCTTAATTGCTCACTTGCTTTTTCATATATTCCCACTTACTTTTCCTACTTTATAAATTCATTTCGATTACCAATTATTCGATTAAAAGTGGATATCTAACAAACTAATGACAACGATCGATACAATTCTCATTCGTGGCTGTGGCAAAGAATGCGTCATGATTGACTTACTAGTTAATTTCCTAATCAAGGCGTAAACTCACGTTTTTTCATAGCAATCCCGTAACCCTTGGCGTCGAGGAGTCCACCGATCTGCGTCACGTTGCAGTGCCTCTCGATAATGTATTCTATGGAGCTTGACTCCATCAGAAACGCATAGTCCTCTCTCAGCACTTTCGTCAGAGCGACGTCGTTATCAGGTGGCAGTACGTCCACCGCGTTCTCCTGCATGTACTCGTACATCTCCTTGTACGTCGAGTAGTTGGAATCCTTGGGACGGGCATAATTCTTTCAAAAAACTGAATTAGAACGAGCAGCTCCAAGTCTCGTTTGCCTTACGATAGTTAGTAAGATACGTAGGAGGTTACATTTTTTTATTTTTTTTTTTTTTTTTTTTTGGAGATAATTTGTCATTGATTATGATCTGAATGCGAATAATATTGGCGGGCGATTAATCTAATATGTGTCTAGTGTCATTCACAGTGCTACATATATTATTCAAGCGTCGTGTCGAAGGCGAGGAAATTGTCTGACAATGAGAGATTAATGAACATGATCTACGTGTTTTTATGATGAATCAACAAACTATTACAACTGTCTGGGGGATTAGAATTTCCGGAATGCGTAAAACAAACATCTTACGAAAATTATGTTCACTGTACTGTTAAATATTTGTTAAATGGTTTATTAATCACAATAGTTGGCAGAGGTATAGTTAAATTCAGACGACAAAGCTAATCTTATGTCTCTTACACTTGGAACAAGTACGTCGAAGCCTGTAATCATCCTGTAAAATTCGTTGCTACTGACAACCGTTTTCATCAATTTTTTTTTTTTTTTTTTTCTTTTTGATAACTGTTCTTCACGTTACGTGGTAAAAAAATCAATTCGTTTCCCGTTAGACACTTACTTTGAAGAACATCAACGTGGATCCTCCTAGTTTAGCGCCGTATTTGATAGTCTTCTTCTTCGCTAGTTCCTCGACATTTGAGAAAGGAGACACCACCGTCTCGACGGTTAAGAACGCGGCTAAATTGGCAGTGTAGGATGATACCATGATCAAGCAGAAGAACCACCACGAAGCAGCCATCATTCTTGTCGAAAGTCCTCTGTCCGATTACAAAAACGTCGATATCGTCGAATTGCAAGTAGCAAGTAGCAAAATCGGAGTAACAGTGATTTTGGAAATTTTACATACATGGGCGCGATCTCGGAACCCTGCTGCATAATACTGCCGATAGTGAACCACAGGGAATTCTTAAAGGTGAACTGATTCTCAAGCTCCTCGGGCTCCTCGATGCACGGATATGGATTATTCCACTCTGCAGGGCATATCCTGCCGATGATGAATAATACCACGGACACGAATATGTAGGATCCGATCAAGTACCACCAAACTTCGGCTGAAAACGGCGATAAGAAGGAGAACAAGCTGGGCGGTGTTTTGGTCGGTTTGCGATATAAAATACTTATTCCTGCAAAAGGAGAATGAAACAAAAAGAAAGACAAAAATTGAATTGAAAATATAATTATACACTCACGAACGTGTCTTAGAATATTAACCCTTTCGCTGTTTTGAACGAAATATAAATTAAACAATTCGAGTGTGTTTTGACAACTCGATACATCTCGTGAGATAATTGAGATTACGTGATCTTTCTTGTACCAATAAACGTTGTTTTACGAATCGATTTTCGTCGAAATACACTGTTTGGTATTGTTTGACGAAATCGTACATTGTTTGACATAGTTTGACGAAATGTCTCGTCTTTAACACCTCGTGAACGACGTTGTACGACGAGATATCTCATTCATAGCACTTATAAATGAAACTGTGACACGAGATATTTCATCATCCAACATCGTTCATGACGTGTTATAAATTAAACAATTCGTTTTTTTTTCTTTTTACTATGACAAAAGTCAAAAAGTCGATATAATTCATGAAATTACTAAGATTACATGAGTTTTCTTATACTAATACATCGTGTCTTACGAATCGATTTTCGTCCAAATCGATTGTTTGATATTGTTTGACGAAACACCCCGTTAGTAGCACTTTATAAACCATAACGAGATATTTCGTTCATATCGTTTGATAAATGAAACTGCGACACGATATACCTCGTCCGTACAGCGAACAGGTTGAATTTATGAGCACCAGTACTAAAAAATTTCGTAAAATTTGCACGATCTGCACGAGTCGTACCTAGATTCATAAAAGGCATCGTGAAATCAACCGCCCCTTCCCTCTCCGCCGTTATAGTTAAGTCTGTAATTGCCAGGTCAGCCACCTGCAACACAATTTTACTGGACACATCGTACCTTAATCCTTCGTTTTATTTTATTTAACTGAAGAGACGTTTGCCTCGATTCAAAGGTTACTAACGTCGGCCATTATTTTGCCAAGCATCCCCGTCCATTTTCTCGCCTTCCTCGAGTACGATCCGTACACGTTGTCCGTCTGAACCTCGAACGTGTAATTAAAGCCAAGCATTTTGCTCAGTTCTTGAATAATATCGATGCAGAAGCCTTCGTAACGATCGTTCCCCGACATCATATCGGCCGATCTCTTTAACATGCCGTAGGGCTGATTCTGCAAGAACGACAAATTTTATTTCTCATTCGAGAGATCTTAAGGGTAAATAGTCAGCCATTTCTTTTGCATTCGCGTGACACGCCGATCTTTCAGTATCGATAATTTTCTATCTATTGATTAATCATTCCTGTCGTCATCTTTTGTCAGATTGTTCCGTAACGTCGATATGTAATCCGTTCGCTTCGATCAGAGATCTATCTCGCAGCGAAATCAAACTCGTAAATGGAATTTCATTTTGTGTTTTCACGTACGAGGGCGATCAGGATGATGAACGTTTTGTTCTGCAGGCTTAACTCCGCGTCAGAGCTGGAAACGTGAGCTTCCATCAGCCACTCCACGTTACTCGTACTGTTCCACATTCCGATCTTCTTCAGTCCGACTTCCGTCACTTTCACAATATCCAGCTGGAAATCGCTGCGAAATCCAGCCGTGTCGAATTTGATCAAGCCAGTCAACCCTTCCATTTCGGTCTGAAACGAACGCGCAATAATAACTTCAGTCTGGTACTGTCTCAAACGACGAAGACGATGGACGAAACATTGAAGTACGACCGAGGAAATAGAAATTCGGCTGGGTCGGTGAAAACAACTATATCTTCAACTTTCAGTCCCGTGAGACTTACGACTCGCATGAAATTATTCAGGCTGAATCCGTGCTCCCAGCTTATGCTACCGTTGCAAAGCAACGGCTTTACGTTCGCTTTAATGGTGTATCTCAGACGGCTGAAAGCTCTGGCGAAAAGCTGCACGGCGTCGTACATGAGCGCTGGTTCGACGCGTAATTGACTCGGATCGTTCAAGCCCCACTCGTACTTGTGCATCTCGACGATGCTCGCAACGAGCGGATTCTCAGGATCGATTAATCGCACCCCCGTGAAATTCACCCCTGAAAATTGGTACGGTTCTAGATCGATCGTTTGAAGATCCTGTAAGCAGAGAAGAAAGCAAAGAAGAAGGGAAAGTAGCCCGGTCAATCAGCAGCGCTGATGCTTCGTTGATCACGTAAGATTGTCTTAGAAAGTCGAATTATTAGAAAAAAAATATATATATATATATATATATATATTTCAGTTTGCGTAAGATCATTCTAAATCATGCAAGATTATCTTAGAAAGTATATCGAATTATCCTAGAAAATATTTTAGCAATTCATCAACGCCGGAGAAGTTATTACCAGGGAAGTTACGATAATTTTGTTCTTCTCCGACATGATTCCCACTTGCTGCGCCTGTCTCAGCACCTCTTCCAATATATCAATCGAACAGTCGATAATAACGTTCTCAATCTCCTCGTCTTTGATCTCTCGCATCACTTTTCTGTAAAAATTCGATCGCGCGTTACTCGAATTCGAATCGAAACGGGTACAACGTGTGTAAACGCAAATTTCGTTTCAATGTTACACCTGTAACTTGGTCCGGTGCCTAAATGATACAGGAAGATCCCGTGGCTCTTTGCGTCCCAACGCTCCAGCAGTCGGTGCGTACGGAACAGACTGTCGGTACCTTCGTACAGTATTGCGAATACCTTCCATTCAAAGTCGGTTATCATTTTGTCAAAGATCTGGCGGCACATCAAACACCTCACGTCATCGAACGTATTTATTTATTTATTTATTTATTTATTTATTTCTATATTGATTTTTTACGGATAAAAAAAGAAAAATACCCATTAGTACAGAAGTGATGTAACGAGGCATGAGACTGACAATGAGTGAGAAATTATGAGGAGATACTAAGTAATGAGCGTTTAAATGAATGGTTAAAAACATCGATCATTATTAGCGTTAATAAATATACGATTATACGGGTTATAGAAACCATAATATGATGGTGCTCAATGTGAAACAATTCAGAGTGACGTAGTGATCTGGAAGGAACACTTCAATGATATTCGGGCACGAGATCAGACCACTGAACATCCTATTGACAAAGACCAAGTCAGCTATTTTCTCGCGCTGTTCGTGTGTAGTCAAATTTAATTTGGTTAGAACGTACTCGTAATTGTGAGAATATCTTGGCATAAAATATTGCACGTTCGACGTAACAAGTTCTTCAATTCAATGACGCGTAAACATTGTGGATCAATTACGATCCGCAAACATTTCTCTTTCTCCTCACTGTCCCGAATTTTTCCTTACAAACAACTGCCAAGAAGGAAAACTGAGACCAACAAAATGGCAAAGATAGAAACAGAGAATAGTCAGAACAGTGTTTTCTCGCGTGTTTTTAATTAAATCAATTTTAATCCCGAAGAGTTTAAATTTGAACAGCAAACAAAACAAAAATTTCAAAAGAGTTGCGCATCGCCGCCTAAAACCAAGACGCAGCGCCGTTCGAAACTGGTCGAAGTTATCTTTCAAAAATATAAATACGTCGATGCGCGGCCGAGAGTGCACGTTCGCGAGACGCGATCTCGCATACGGTCAGATAAATATTTAAACGGGGTGGGAAAAAGAGGTTCTACGTACCATGGAGAGTGTTTCCGCATGCGGGAATAAGTTTATTCCTTTGCCGCGAGTTTGAGAGTGTTCCCATCTGCCGTAAATGTGTGGCATTTCCATGGTGTCGCACATACTCTGCACATGTTCCGAGGTAAACCTATTGTGGGGACCGAAAATGGCGGCCACCCCTTCCTCCATCAATTCGCACGCTGAATATTTGACGAGAGACGGATCTCGCGTTAACAGCGATCCGGGATAAATCGCGGACAACGCATCGTGCAAAAGGACGTTGAGTCAATTTTTTGGCCGTGATGTTAATTTTTAAAAGTCTTTTAAAAGTTTTTGTGTCGCTAGAACGCGATGACGATTATACTCGATGTACAGATTGCTATAAAGTAATAACACTAGTTTCTTTTTGAAAAATTAATTAATAACAATTAATACCAATAGCAAGAAAATATTAAGAAATAATGTGAAATGATGCCTGGTCAAGTCTAATTTTAACTAAAAAAAATGGAAAATTTTTTTTCATTATTAAAAATTAATTTGATTCATTAAAATATAATACTAATAAAATTGAAAAAACGCTATGCTTGAATAGTTGAATATATAGAAATTTCTAAAATTAATAATGTATTTTGAATAATTATAGAAAATGGAAAAGAAATTCAATTTGTTATAAAATTTCTTAATAAAGTTAGATTAAATTAGTCTCAAAATATTCTAAAATGTCTAAAATTTACAAATATGTTTCATTTTCCGCGAGAAAAAAAATTCAATTCGCGTCGCATGACGAGCATACTCGTCACTACACAAGAAATTGTCATGTCATGATAAATTGTCATACGACGAGTTTAGCCAAGAGGTAAAAGAAAATGCTTTGTTTGAAAATTTATCTGATAATAAATTTAATGATTATTAAATAACTTACTATTAAATAATAATAAATTTTTGATATTTTGTTAAGAATTTAAATTTAAAAATTCTCTTCCGTATTGTTAAAAGTATTTAATCGTACAGAATCGTATAGTCTTTTGCACGATGTATGATAATACTTTTTACGTAGGACGCGTATCGGACAATCGTATACCTATTTCCGACACGTTGAACGGATCCGTGTCGACCTCGTTGGACTTCGCCACGAGGAACACGTCTGGGAACTCGTCGTTCTCGTGTCGCTCTTGGTTCACTCGCTTTACAGAGGATTCGAAGGTACGTTGAATCCCATCGTCGGTGTCGAACAGCCCTCCTGAAAGAGTCACGCGAAAGGCAGGCACGTGTGTGTCGTCGGACGCCGTGCGTTCTATTAATACACGCTCGCGGAACGTCAAGTTGGAAACCGGTGACGTTCGTGCTAAGTCCGTGGACTTGGGAATAAACTTGGGAGCTCGTTATGAAATAAATAAATGTGTTGTGAAACAGAACTCACGGTTCCCGTGTCCAACTGGCCGTTCCGCGTATTTCATTTCGCACGATTCTCCTCACCGAGGTTGACTCTCGCGCTCCTGGGAACCGCCAGAACGCAGCAGAGGATGAAGATCAATGAAAGACACTTGTCCAGCATCTTATCTCGTCATTCTCTACGATGCCACGTCGTGTGCCTCGTCGTGTTGAGTCGTCGAAACTGGCCGACAGAGTAGATTAAACAATTAAGGCACAATTATTTGTGGAAACAGATGGGAGCAACGTTGTTCCTCGTTGGGGGCAACAGTGAGGCGATTCAGTGCGCGATTTAGACGATAAACGTTCTCGGCGAAACAACAAAGATCCAGACACAGGGTGAAATCCAGCGGCGGGTGATGGGGGAAGCTGTTAGTCCGCGATTAGTTCTCAAAGACAGCCAGACAAACCAGATTGATGCGAATTTATTTGCAATAAGGCGACTCGAGCCTGGGATGCCAGACCGCTGGGATTCGAAACGAGCACTTAACCACGCGACGGGTTCTGTAAACCAGCGGGGAAGCGTACACACCGGCTCGAATTCTCCGGTCTGCGTAAATATTTAGAACCGTCTAAAATCAATCCTCCAATATTCAGCCAGCCTATTTATTTGAAGCTGCTGAAGGAGGCTTCGCGACTGTCAGATTCTCTCTCGACGCTTCCACGTTCGTACGACGCGTCGAGATCCCTCGGGGAAAGGGAAAAAAGATTATTGGACGACTCATATCTTTCTTCCTGTTTTCTTTCCAGTTTGAAAGATTTTATTATGCGGCGTTAGACACATTCGGGCAGAACGAAAGTAGATTTTTGAATTGTTAGACTTTGAATTGTTAATTTTTAAATATAATTCGAGAAAAATTCTTTTATACAGAGTTGTAATTAACCAAATTTTTTTTACAGTGTAAGGAAAGATGATTTAATTTTTGTATTTGAACACGTTTCGTCGATTTTGCAAGTCCTTTGTCTTCATCGTTGAGGGATTATTCTGCAGTGAATAGTTTTCCAACAGATTTCAATTTCTTTTCCTTTTTTTCATTTGGAATGACTTTAATTTAAAAAAAAAGAACCTTTTACATTCTTTTCATACTTTTCACTTTATACATTGTACATCCTCAAATATTCCATAAATGCAGAAAAAATCCGCGGCGAATCTTTCGCGCGAAATATTAAATTTAATATTAACATCAATTAAAATTTGTACCAAAAATTGCAAAATTTAACGTAATGTTTGCGAATTAATTTCGGAATGATGGATAAATTTAACTCGGCCGAATTCGTGTATTAATTTCAAACCAGCCGGCCGACACTCGCGAGTCGCGGGATAATTTTATCGAGGACGACTTTTGCGGATCAGCGGGTATTTCCCTTGCCTGGACGCGACACACGCGATTCGCGATTCGCGATTCCGCATGGTCGTGCGATTGTCACCTTGCCAAACGCAGCCGATTCTTTTTCGTTCGTTCACCGTGACGGTGAATTATTTCCGGTTATTTCACATTCGTGGCATCCGAAACGATCCGTGAACGCGTGTCGCGACGCCCTCGGCCTCGTGTGTCAACGCGCCACATCCAGCCGGCCGTAATCGCTCGAAAAACATACGAAAATCTTCGAGTGCCGCCCGTTACGAGCGTCCGTTATATTTAGACGCCGTGCGTCGCCGTCCCTAACGCCTGTCGCTTAAACCGCTGTGACATAGTTTCCATCGAATCGCGATCGGCCACGGTTTTCGTGGTAAAAGAAAAATTGGCCCTCGTCGCTCGTTTCTCCATGATTCTCTCTTTTCCTCAGCACTGTTCGAAAACGCAACGATACGTGTTTCGAAATTGTACGAGAAGGTTGTAACTTTATTTTTTTTTTTTTTTCAAATCGCGTTCCAACGAAAAGACAAACACTCAAGATTTCAGTATGGAAAGCTTTCGTACTTACGACTTGACCTGCATCGAAATGCTACAAATTCACTCGAACGCTCGCGTATCGAGTTGAAACTCTTATGTATCTTGTTTCTAAAACCGATTCCCGACTCTTGGTCGCGTCAGGAATTTTTCAAATGATCGAGTCGATCCGATGGTTTACTCTTGTTATGCGACTTCGAGAAGGACAAGGTGAGTTGAAAAATCACTTCGGTGGCACGCGGCCTGTTAGTAATTTGGAAAGTTACACAGCGGTGAAAGGATCAAGGCTGTCGATGCAACGAGGGTGAAAGTGGAAACTTACCCGAAAATTACAATTACACGCGGGTTGATTACCTGGCTGAAGAAGTTTGATATACGGTGCTTTTCGGGAACGAACCTCGCGGCGTTCACTCTAATCCCGCACGCCGCTTCTCGCTTCTGTCGGTGTTTTCACTGCGCACACGCGGACTCCCTTCCAAGCCACTTCGGATTTCGTTTGTACACTCTCGAACATGGCCGGCGTCCACGGATGGCTCGAATTTAATTTATTGTTAGACGCGACGCCATCACTTTTTTTTTTTCGAGTGGCCGTCGCTTGGGCAGAAGTGCCGCCTCTTTCGACGTTACACGGACGCGCGTGAATTTTTTCTCTTCGTGGTGAGAAAGTGGATCTTAAATCTCACTTTCTTCACTTTCTTCACGTTGAAATAATTAATAATAAAAAAAAAAGAACACATCACTTTCTTCACATTGGAATAATTAATGATAAAAAAAAAAAAGGATTTCCTTTGCATTTTAAAATGACGTTAAACTTTATTTTTTTTTTTTTTTTTTCGAGCAGAAAAAGCGCGAGAAAGTTGACAAAATTTCCACAAGCAAAGTGTGGTTAAATTCATCGTAGAAGAATCAACAGAAACACGACTGAGAAAAGTCTGAGCAAATGGTTGTTCCTTTCGACAGCGTGTTGGACTTTCTCCAGAAGAGTGTTCCTCTACCTTTTACAGCGACCGCGCGACGCAAAATTCTTGCACCATAGATGGCAACTGAACGAGGTAAAATCGTTGCTCGCAAAAAGCGATCTCGCGAGCACGTTTGACATTTGTTTTATTCCACGAAGAGGACAATTGCTCGTCACTCTCCAAAGAGATTCACGATCTCGTTAATCATTATTCCTAATTTCCAAGCCAATTAATCGACTGTGCTCGAACGTTTGAAAAGGAAAAAGCAAGGCAGAGACTGTGACTGAGATTGAAAATGGACAAAAGATTGGGATAGCGTGGCAAACTGAGAATGAAGATAGGAAGACACGGAAAGAGAAGGGAGAAAATGTGGGAAAGGAGGTGAAACATGGTGAGAAAGATGACAAAGTAAATGAGATGGCTGCGCTGGCGTCGCGAAAGGTAGCAAAGAGAAGGTAAGAGGCCGTGGAAGTTGGATACATTAGTGAATTAGTTACGTTAGCGGTTTGGGATTTAGTTCTCTAATCAAGGGAACGAAGAGTGAAGGCTGCGGCAATTGATGTAAAAGTAGAACTTCCCGGGCGACCAATTACCGTGGCGGTGGTTAAGGCAGAACTTCTCTGTCGTAATCAACAAGGGGATTATGGCGCGGATTAAGTATATTACGCGTGGAATCATTTTCTCTCGCGGCCGAAAGCGGCAGCAACCTGACGCCTACGCGAAATTCACGATCAGATCGGCGAAATTTTTCTTTCTCAATTCGATCGAGAATCTTCGTTTTTTTTTTTTCTTTTTCAAAAAATCCTGTTCGTACTTGAACAGTGAATTTTTATGAATAGAACAAGCATGGGAAATTTATAAAGAGGCTAATAGAAAATTTCAAGGTTTTCATACAAAAAGATGAATAAATTTTTGTAGAAAGAAGCATAACACTCGGGAACACTTTTGACAAGGATAATTCTTTAGCTGTCTGTGAACGATGTTCTCTCTGAAATAAATATTTCAGAGAGAGAGAATCTGCGTGATACTCTTCAGTTAAAGATCCATTTAGTATATATGCCACGAATATTGAGAGAAGGAAAATTTTCATTTCCATTCTGTCAGAAAGTTCCAACTTTTTCAGAACGTTTATTTATTCGAATTATTTTTAAGAAACGAGTGTTTCAAACGAGGACCTGTTTAAAAGTCTCGTTTAACCGATTTCCGATCCCTGATTTCAACATTTTCGGTAATCGTTCTTCTTTCTTCTCTCGAGGTTGGCGATATCTGCGAGCGACGAAGCTTGAATGGTGCCGAGGCAACAAACGGGACACACAAGTGCGCCGGGAATTCACAGACGACGAGTTTCTCTTTTCTCTCTTTTGTTTTTTTTTTTTTTATTCACGTTTAATATGATGCTCGTAGTACACTTTATGTAAGAAGTATAATCAATAGGCTCTTAACAAACTCGTTACGACGTAGAACGCAGTGTACGCGATACAGACGATATTTACAAGTACGTGTATAATGTACGCCATTCATTCGTATGTGTGAATATGTCGTTCGTGCGGGTTTCGTACGTATTTAAAAAAAAGAAGAAAAAAAGAAAACCAGAAAATCTAAACGACGGAAGTCGGCGATAAAGGAGAAGTGAAAAGAACGGAAGAAGAAGAAGCAAACGATTTTGAAGAAATTGTGGACGACGAATTGAAGTTTCGTTCGCTAATTTGATTCCACCGATCTATCTGCATCCGGAAATTGATCACTCCAGAGAGAGAGAGAGAGAGAGAGAGAGAGAGAGAGAGAGAGAGAGAGAGACCGGTGCACGTACAATATTCTCACGTGTTTACGCCTTGGGAGAGACGGAAGACGGAAATTAATACTGCTCAGTCGGTGGCGTTCATGAACGTCAGGCTGGAAATGTACCAGCTGCAAACAGGCTTTCCATTAACTCCGTTAACCGGCTTAATTCCTCGAATCGTTGGACGTTGCAAGAAAGGGGCATCGCGATCGTCGTGCCCCGGCCAGTAAAATTCTCTGTCTCGGTGATTTAATTGAATTTTCGGTCGAGCTGGTTTGTTTTTTCAAGGATGGTCCCAACATTCCCTGAATTCAAGCGGACGTGAAAATATACCGCGACACCGTTGGAAGATCTAAACGTTTGACATTCCTCGAATCGTCGAACTTTTGACGTCCCTCGAATCGCGAGATTTCGGATTTGGAACGGTGCCAAGTAGGTACGTAGGATTCGTCTGAAGTTTGAAGATTTCGTTCAGCTCAGCTTCGTATTCGTATTTGATACTCAACGCTGCGCTTGGTTCTTCAACCATCTGAAGAGAGAATTAAACATAGAGAAAAAGAGAATTGAGAATTATTGGCAGCTTTGACGTACATTCTTGTTTGCAGTGGTTACATTCAATTAACATATTACGAAACTGCTCTTGACATCAAAGGATTAATACCGAGTATACGAAGTCAGGTGCAGGTAGATCAGTGAAATCTGATACACGAGACCGAGAAATTCTTTAGCCAGAACGTATCGTCGATTTGCTGAAGGAGCGGCCTCTCTCGATAATTACCAACGAAAACAATTGATATTTCCAATTTTATATTCAGGGCCGCTTGAATTTCTTCACACGATGCCTTTTGAAATATCTTTCGAGTGTATCTCTGTCTTTAAAAAAAAAAAATAATCAGCAACGTTTCCAAGTAGTAAAAAAAAGAAAAAATTATATTTTATATTATAAATATAAAATTATAAAATAATATAATAAAATTATATTTATATTATATTTATAATATAAAGTAATATAAATATAAAATTTTAAAATAACATATAATTATTACAAAATTATGTTATATATTTCTCAATAGCGTCACTCCCCCAGCTTATAAAATGAAAAGTGTGGAATTACTTGTTGTATCTACACTCGTAGATGAAACATTCCATCCACGATGTTCGCACGCGTGGACACGGGTTATGTTACAGCGTCGGCAGTGATGCTTAAACTTTTACGAGCCGTACGAACAAGGTTTCTTCCCATGAATGTTCTATGATACAGTGCCATAGAATAGACGCGACGGTTTAGTAGTTCGTAATCTTAACGATGAGACGTGATTATTTACATTAAACGGATGTATCCAAACGCCATCGAACAGACACAGACAGAATTTGTACAATGTTAATTATTCTTCTGATGTTTCTCTCCTTTTTTTTCCTCTCTCTCAAACGATCAGGATGTACTTTCTTAAAAAAATGAACGATGTTCCTCCTTCCATCGAACGATTTTTCCATTTTCCATACGCGTCAATCACAAGATCCATTCTCTCTTTCTTCGATCGTTCTTCACGTGCATACATTTCCCAACGAAGCTTGTCTCGCCTGTGTTCCGACATATCGTGCGGGAGATAATGGCTGTTGCTTTTCGATATATTCGATAAATGTACGAACACTATCTTCAAATCTGTCGGATCGTTCCTTTCCTCGGCTGTGTTATTTCACACTTAAAATACTTCCTTTCGAACGTCGAGTCACAGTAGAAATCATATCTGGATCCTCGTCGTGTGTGTGTACGTACAAACGATCGCGATTTGGAAGCAGCGGCGATCGAGACATTGACATTCGCGGGGACGGTTCGCCCGTGTCCGTTTCACGAAGGGTGGCCACCCTCTCTCGCCGCGATTGGCGGCAACGAAAGACAAAAGGATCCACGAGGCTGCCTCGTTAATCTTTCCGCTGAAACAGCGAGCGCCGTTGTCTCCCGCACGGCACGATAAATTTCCAGCGAGCTCCAATTAACGACTGAACGACTGTACACTTTATAAAGTGGCTAGTCGACCAACGAACTGCCACGTTCGTCCGCGTCGCTTGCAAAGACGGCGTGACCGAGAAAATGAAGGGAAAAGAGAAGGAAAAGAGAGATGAAGAAAGAAAGAATCTCACTGGTGCGTGTGCAGATTCAAAGACGAAGAGAGAAAAAGAAAGGGTGAGGTGGGAGAGATAAAGCATAAACGGAAGAGAAGGTGGATGGTTTCCAGCTGGCGCTAGTCTTTTTTTTTTTTTTGGTTCACGTCCCTCGCTCGTCGATTGTCGTTATAGTTCATCGAGTCGCGAGTCAGATTAGCACGAGTTAGCTCCTCGACGACGATCCGACCTCCCCCAGTGGCTTCTTCAGGTCAAAGGCGCCTTCCCCACAAAGTGTCTGTACTTGTTGCACGCTGGATACCTGCCCTCCTCCTCGGACACGATCGACAGGTTCGATCGTTCCCTCTCGCGACGGCAGGACAGCGTCCTCCCCGCGGGTTTCTTCGCCTGGCCGTTGCCGCAGTCCAGCGCGTAACGGAGCTCGCTCGCCATATCCGAGCACACAGACTTCTGGAAAGTTCCAGCAAACATCTGTTGCATCCCTTTGTCGTGCCCCCCTCGCGTGTTTTCGTCAGCCAAATGCGATGACGCGCGAGAAACGCTTGTAACCTCGCGAAAGTAGTACTTTAAGGGGGACCGGACAGTGT